TAGCCTATTTTTTCTTAAATTTGCCTCTCTGTGGTACCTTTGGTTCTGCTTATGAACAAGTCCAGGTTTTCCCTGTTCATTCATTTACTTGACCTTTAGCTCCTCATCCACTGCTTAAGACCTTTCAATATGGCCTCCACGTGGACCACATGGGTTCTAATCATTTTTAGCCTTTTTAGTAAAGTGGAATCTAAGAATGAATGCCCAACTCTGCAGCAGGAGAATTCGTTCTGAGTAAAGATTAACATCCAAATTAAGCCATTACAAACATAGCTGTATCCATAATTATTGTGCTTAAGAATTATTTAATTGGAGAGGGGTATGGAGAAAAATGTAGGCAGGAATGAGGAGAGATAGATCAGAAAGACTTGCCAAGAGAAGAGGGGGGAAAAAAATGAAGGGAGGTCCCTGGATGGGTCAGTCAGTAGAGCTTGCAACTGTTGATCTCAAGATTGTGAGTTCAAGCCCCAAATTGGGCACAGAGGCTACAGAAAGAAAAAAGCAAGCAAGAAAAGTAAAGAAAAGAAAAAGGGGGGAAATGGCATGGAATATGGGAAAAGAGAGTTAAGAGTCTGTCTGACAACTACAGGGACGACTGCCTTTAGGAGTTACATATCATAAATGGGCTTTGTTGCCACAGCTAACATGAAAACCAAGCAAGGTTCTGGACATCTCTACACATTCTTGAGGGTCTCCAGTCTCCTCCCCAGTGTCACAATATTGTTTTAAATTCATAATGTCTGGATAATCATAATAGTCCAAATGGGGTACCTGCCTCCAGATTCTGTTCTCTCCTTCTCAATCCACCTCACATGCTGATGCTGTTGTCTGATTTCCTTTGCATATAGCAAGGACTAAGAAAATGGGAATGAATGAATCAATGAATCAATGAATGAAAAAAATCCCCAAATTACATAATCACTATGACCCTCACAAAGACTTATTTTTAGTGATAAATTATTTTTAAAAAACTTATTTAGAAAAAAAATATATCCTACCAGAGCCAAGAAGCCTCTACCAAGGAGGGGGTGGGAAGCAGTGGAGGTCATTTTAAGGTACATAAGACCCAAACAAAACCCAACAAAAACCTACTTTTCTTAAAACTCAAACGTTAAGGAAGGGACTTTAAGTGCACACGCACATGTACACACACACACACACACACAGAGACAACTTCAGAATTTAATTTGCTTAATACCATTTGGTGGTCTGCTTTTTGCAGAAAGCTAAAAAGTTACATGGAAGTAGAAGTTTATTCAAGTCATAAATGGTAAAAGTCTCAATATATATATATATATTATATATATATATATATATATACTGATTGGACTGTAAGCACCCATTTAAAAGGGTAAAATGCCAATAAAATTTGTAAATTCAGCTTATTCTTGTCAGTAGGTGACAGCAATGTCAATCACCAGTAGTTTTATACAATCACTCATTGCCCAAGCCTCAACTTCCCATAAGGTAAAAATACATCAAAATTATGACGATTTTACCATGCAATTTTATTATTAAAATTATTTTCTCTACATAATTATTCTGTTAGAAAAAGCGTGTCTATGTTTTTTATTACTGTGTTTTAGTTTATAATTTAGCAATTGTGGTCAGTGTGAAATATATCAGCTTAAGAAGCATTTAATTCTTTTCCTAATGGCATCATCACATTATTTTTTAATTTCTAGGAGATATTCGAAGTTGATATTTAGCTCTTAAGTTCATTTAGAACAATCTCCACATGATTTGAAACAGACCTGGGGTCCAAGTTGAGTTGGGTGATTTAGAAAAAATCAAAATGCTAAAATCATGTAAAAATAGATCTTGTGAAATGGGAATGATAACGAACTCAGCTTCTGATTTTTCCCTTTGGGGAATAACCTTAATTTTATGAAGAAATGAAATTGCTGGTGGTGCTTCAGGTAACAGTTTCTGCAGAAATTTTAAGAAAATGAATCTGTAAGACATAGGAAGTTGGACTATAATCAGTAAACTGTTCAGGTCAGGTTGAACTCAGTAATCAGCAAGGTCTTTGTTTAAATCTACTTATGAATAAATTACTTTTTTCATGTCAGTAAAATAAAAAAATCAAAGCCTCGGAATCATCTTGGCAGCTGTGCAGCATTTGACGTGATCTTTTTTTAGGAATAAATTATCAGATGGCATTAATTGCAACTTTTTCTTGTTCAAATGAGAAACGTTGGGCCTCTCCCTGTAGACCGTTCATGGATCTGCAGGTCTCAATGCCAGGCCAGGGAGGCCTTTAGTTTTTCTTGTGGGCTTCTCTGTGTAACCTTTACTTCAACTTTTTGTTACCTGCAGACGCTGGGGAGATGTATTTTGTAAACTTTGCTTTATTTTTGTTGGGAATGTTCAGATATTCACTTTAACCCAGAATCACCGTTTTTTAAAGATTTGTTGATTTATTTGAGAGAGAGAGGTGTGTGCAAGCACACTCACATGTGGGGGGGGCAGGGGGAGAAGGAGAATCACAAGCAGACTCCCCGCTGAGCTCAGGAGTCAGAAGCGGGGCCAATCTCGTGTCCCCAGCTGAAACCCAGAGTCCGACACTTAACTGACTGAGCCACCCGGGCGCCCAGAATCGCCACATTTAAGGCAAGAGTAAGCAAATGTTTCCTGTGAAGAGGCAGGTAGTAAATATGTTGGTCTTTGTGACCAGATGATCTTGGCGGCAACTCTCAATTCTGCAGTTACGGTGCAAACTCAGCTCTAAACAATACATGAATAAATGTGTGTGATTCCATAAAACGCTGTTTACAAAATCATGCAGCAGGAAGAACTGGACGTTGTTTGCTGACTCCTAATCTAAAAGAGTATCTTTGCGTAGAGGCAGAGAGATAAGAGAGTCAAGGAGAGAAGAAATATCAACTTCTCATTTCACTGGCCCCAATAAATACTACAATCAAATGAAGCTATAGGAACCCAGATTTGTTCTCACTGGTTCCTCTTATAGTAAGTTATAGTTTGTTGATGAAGCAATTCTTTTACTCAACAAACATCTACTGAACACCTATCATGAAACCCATACTCTATGGGCACTAGGTACGATGCAAAGTACACCTCGCCCCGATTCCTAGGACCAGCACATTTGGCAAGAGAGATATTCCGGGCTTTCATATAGGCTCTTGGATAATTTTTAGTTTCTCCCACCAGGTCAGCCTTCTCTCTGTGGTGCTACATCTAACACTACTACTTCCTACCTCAGTCCAGGGAGGAAGGAGGACTGATTTTTGAACTTCCCTATGCTCTCATCTCATCACTCCCACCCTAAGGACTTTAGAAGTCAGTGCTCCTTTTTTTATTAGACTATTTTTAATTAAGAAAAAGAGATTCAAAATACTAGGGTACTGTGCCATACTTCTTTATTTTGAGGTTAGGGAAGGGCTTGGTTTCAATTCCTGTATCTTACTGCACTGACAATTAGAGCAACCATTTCATTTCCTCTCAGGAGACAGCTAAGATACATAAATATGCTTTAAAACTCCATTCTTTATTTTTTTAAAGATTTGAATTATTTATTCCTGAGAGACACAGAGGGAGAGAGGCAGAGACACAGGCAGAGGGAGAAGCAGGCTCCATGCAGGGAGCCTGATGCGGGATTTGATCCCGGGTCTCCAGGATCACACCCTGAGCCGAAGGCAGACTCTCAACCGCTGAGCCACCCAGAGATCCCAAAAATCCATTCTTTAAAACCCATGCTCCTGGAATGTAGGGCATATAGATCTAAAAAGAAAGAGCAGCAATTCCAACATTCTTCAAGGCTGCTGCTGCTGCTGCTGCAGCTCAACTTGAGAGAGTAAATTTATAGATTTTTTGATATATGCCATTTATATTTTATAAAGATTACAAAAAATATTTCTAATCAAATGTATTAATTTCTAATAGGCTGGGTAAATCACAAGAATTATAGAATTGCTAAGATCTGAATTCAAGATCTTTAGGTATGAGAAGCTTATCTCATTTAATGAGGAAAGCAAATTCTTTCCAAAAATCTATAGATGAGAATAATGAAGATTTCATAGACTGTGAATCTATGACATTCAAATTCATACCAATTCAATAAAGGTGAACTCTGAATTCCTCAGAAGACGTAATAATTAACATTTTAAAACAATAGAGTTTACCGTACTCGAACTTTATGAAATCAACTATTTTTGTAACTTGTTTTTCCTAACTTTTAAACAATGATGATTATTGACAGTTTAGGCCATTCATTGTGACCAAATATGTGTACATGTTCCTAGGAAAATCTTTGTAATATTTTCCTTTTTTTGAGATTTTATTTATTTATTCCTCAGAGACCCGGAGAGAGGCAGAGACCCAGGCAGAGGGAGAAACAGGCTCCCTGCGGGGACCCCCCCCCCGGGTGACTCGATCCTGGGACCCCAGGGTCACACCCTGAGCCAAAGGCAGACGTCCAACCACTGAGCCCCCCAGGCACTCCTCTTTGTAATATTTCCAACCTGAAATTTTCAACATTCACATTATCCTTTGGTAACATGTTAAATTTTTCAGAATTCCTCTACGTTGGTCGGATGCCACGGGCACCAGACTCCACACCTGTACACCGTGCTTCTATAGAACTGTCATAACAATAAAACAGTAAAGTGATCAGACCCCAACATTCCTTACAAGGCTGGTAAATTGCAGCTTTTCTTTATGAAATGAAGCTTATGCTTGTAGACGCATAAGCATAGACCAGGAGGGGGCTAGGGCTGGCAGCTGGGCTACGGCCTTCGTGAAGGGTGAGATGGTGGCGCAGCCCCAGGCCCTGGTATCTCAGGCCCAGTAGCAGGGGTGTAAGCAGCAGGTGGAAGGAAGCTGCACGGAGCCCAGATTCGGTTCTAGATCAAGCTGCAGTGGCACGCCACGCTCGCCCATGTCAGGTGCAGCTGTAACGCAGTCCAGGGCGAGCGAGGGAGGAACCCCAGGTGGGAAATGCCCTCCGGGAGCTCTCATCCTGCCCGCTGTGTCCTCCCCAGGATCTGTCACTGCGAAGGAGACGAGGAGAGCCCTCTCATCACCCCCTGCCGCTGCACAGGCACCCTGCGCTTTGTCCACCAGTCCTGCCTCCACCAGTGGATCAAGAGCTCAGACACGCGCTGCTGCGAGCTCTGCAAGTATGACTTCATCATGGAGACGAAGCTCAAACCCCTCCGGAAGGTACAGTATCCGCAGGAGCTGGTCTGAAGGAGAGCGCCTGCACGCACCTTGTACACACCTGTTTCTTTCCCAGGTCGCATTCGGTGGGTGCTTCTCTCTGGGCGGGTGGGGGGGGTAGGGGTCTCGTGTTGGGCTCAGTATGCAGAAGAGCAGAGTGTTTGCAAACCATCCTTCATCCTTGTTTTATGTTCTAGGGCCCCTGATTGTTATGTCATTCTGCAAAATCAAAAAGAGGGTGTGTGTGTGTGGTACATGGGCTGGTATGTGCATCTCTATATAGTATAGAGCACAAATATACTTGTAATTTGATGTAATTGGATTGATGGGGGTGGTGAGAGCATTGGACCGACCGGGGTCAAGTCCCTGGAAGGTTAGGCCAATGGATTTCACTTTAAATAATATGAACTCATCTAATTTCCTGAGAATCGGGACATGAGGTAATAAAAGAGAACGTCTTCTTCCATAACGTGAACTCTGTTGGGTTTGCCTCTATTTGGGAATTTGGTGTGATAGGTCATGCGTAATTGGAGTAGATAGACCAAGTGTTATTTTCCGTCTTGTGTATTGAGCTATAAGAGAAAGAAAAGTATTTTTTTAAAGATTTTTATTTATTCATGAGAGACAGAGAGAGAGAGAGGCAGAGACCCAGGCAGAGGAAGAAGGAGGCTCCATGCAGGGAGCCCGACGTGGGACTCGATCCCAGGTCTCCAGGATCACGCCCTGGGCCGAAGGCAGACACCAAACCGCTGAGCCCCCCAAGGATCCCCGAAAAGTGTATTTTTATTTACAAACTTAATCTTCAAATTCCTCACTTACATTGCTCTAAAGCATGAAAGTAAGAATATGAGTCCAGGGGATCCCTGGGTGGCTCAGGGGTTTAGCGCCCACCTTCGTCCCAGGGCCTGATCCTGGAGACCCGGGATCAAGTCCCACATCAGGCTCCCTGCATGGAGCCTGCTTCTCCCTCTGCCTGTGTCTCTGCCTCTCTCTCCCTCTGTGTCTCTCATGAATAAATAAATAAAATCTTAAAAAAAAAAAAAGAATATGAGTCCAATATAGTTAGCATCTCCCTCAAAACTAGCAAAGGGCAACTTGTGAAGGACACAATGAAGACCATGAACTTGATGTAATCCGTGCCTTAGAGCTGGGCCCCGGGTTGTAACGCGCAGCTTACCTTTCGACCTAACTGCAGCCTTACGTATTCTGGATGCTTCCATTTCCAAAGGAGAGTACAGAGACTGCAGTTTAAATAATGATTCTGCCTAGAGCTGCTTTTTCATTTAAATTAAATGCAAGGCAAAAAATGGATGAGAAGAACATGGCTTAGACATAAGCATGATGAGCTCCAGGATGAGGAGAGGTGTCAAGCAAACAAGAATATTCCAGCAGGAATCTGGTTGGTTGCCGGCCATTGGAAGTCTTCATTACTTCTGTAAATCATGGAGAATAGCATTCCTCGCTTTTGCACAGCCTTGATTTTTAAAGTGTGCACATGGTTTATGGAGGTCAGAATTGATGTGGGAAAGGCCTTTGGGCTACGCATGGTCTTTTCTTAGCATATGGTGTAACTTGAGTGACAAAAGGTGACACTGTTCCTCCAGGTCCCAGAGCAATCAATGCCAGAAACAGAACTGGACCCTTGCCCTTTGCCCTTTGCTTCGTCCACTGAACAGATGCTGCGTGGTGTCTGGAGTAGCTAAATGACACGTTGTGCTCTTTGATTCTGTAAATTTGTCTTCCTGCCCCTCGGAGAACTACAAATTGTTTCATAGCGTCTGTATATTTCTCCATGGGTTTTTTTTTTCAACTTCCGTCTATATAAAATGCTCATTTCAACTTAGTCAAAAGTAATATTTCAATTTGTGAGCAACAATCTGGGACCATAAAATACTCAGATTTTCTCTTCTCCGTACTGTCTATCCCTACCCCCATTCTTGTATAATAAACAGTACGTGATGCTATATGGACCTTGAAACGCCTGAGTCTACCTTCAGCTTCTGTGGAATCATCCCTTCTACACGCCTACGGTCCTTTCTTAGTATCCCGTTCCCAATAATTTCCAACCCCGTTACGAGACCCCTTTCTTCTCAACTAACCTATTTATAAACCAGAGAAAGGCAGTGAATACTTCTATCTTTTCAAATCTTCTTAATAATGAATATGTTGTGGCAACCCAGCGGGCACCTACGAGCTACCGATTAATGAAATACCCTGCTTTCTTTTTAAGAAAACACTTCCTGCGTCATAAATATTGATGAAAGACAACATCTCAACATGCGCCATTGTTCATAGCATTTAGGTACCTACAGAGGATGTTCGAACCTAATCCAGAGGTTGCTTCCTGACAGCCATAGATGTGTTTTATTTGACCCACAGGGCTTAAAATTTGAAGCAGTTGCCAACTTTTAGATGTGTAGCTATATCATGTAAAATTCCACTTATCTGTATTTGTTTGAAAATCACAGTATCTGGCTCTTCTGGAACCACATTCCCATAAGACAACATCCAAGGGGGAGCTACGTGGAGCTGAGTGGTGGCTAGAGCCTCTAAAAGGCCATTGGCTTTCCAGTGCTCCCATTTCTCAGCCCTCCCTCGACCCTGCCCCGGAGAGTCTGTGCCATCCCCACTCGTCTGAGTGCCTCTGTTGCTGTCGTGCAGGGATCTGGATTTTCAACTCCTGGTCAAACATATGAGTCCTGGATACGAGAAACATCCATTCTTTCCCAGGCTGCATCATTTATATGTTTTAAAAACCTAGAAAATGTATTCCAAACTCGTACTTTCTCCTTGAAAACGATGGGGCATTGGCATAATGTTTAAATGGCAGCATCCGAAGTGACTGCACATTCTGGAGTGATGTGAGCTCTACAGATATGAGGCGCTTGTAAAGTGTTCGAGATGGTTTATTTTGATGGCACGAAGATTCATCAACGGTTTTCTTTTGATCGTTTTTAATTGGTCTTTACGAATAACAGGTATAGCCCTGCTTAGAGCATATACGAAGCACATCCCATTAATTGCTCTCGACTCAGTAATTCCATTACAGTTTATAACGTTCTAAAGACCAAATGAAACAATTAGTTTAGCTCATGATTCTGAGTTTCTACCATTTGCCAATAGAGCCAGGAGATCCTGTTTCGATGAAATGGCTTCTTAAAGTGGAAAGGTGCAAATCCTCATAGGCTGACGAACCTCAGGGTTTAATAATCCCTAAAGAGATCAGTAAAACCTTACTTCATTAATTGCTACTATTACGACACCAAAATCTCCAGTTAGTAAATTCATCAAAGTATCCTAATGTCTCTAGAAGAAAAATCTTTAAAGTCTAAATAAAATCAAAGGCTTCTTTGAAAAAATAAAAAAAGTAATTTGCATCATCTTCAAGTCAGCAGCTCACCTACTTTCCTAACACTCCATAGGGGCGCCTGGGTGGCTCAGTAGGTTACGCACAGTCCTTGGCCTCACGGTTCTGGGATCCAGCCCCTCATGGGGCTCGCGGCTCAGTGGGGAGCCTGCCTCTCTCTTTCCTCCCTGCTCACACTATCTCTCTCTCTCAAATAAATAAATTTTTTTAAAAAAATAAAAACACTCAATAAAAGCCCCATGAGTGATCCAAGGTCAGAAATAATTCTCAGGGCCCGGAAAAGTCAAAAAGATAAAAATATACAAAGCAGTGCAGTTTGGAAATGCATACAATAAAATCTCCTGTTCTAAAGCTGGAGAATTGCATGAGGTTCAGATTTGAGTCTGAACGGGAGAGACTGGCTGCTGGCGATGAAGCTGAGCTTATTACGAGGACAGCAAGTGGTACCGACAGCTTTATGTTCTCCCCTAAATTATTTCTTTATATAGTTTCTCCTATGCAAACCATGTGACGAATGCATAATACAAAATACTCAACCGTATGCATCCTTTTATCCCCTGTCGCATTTTTAAGTGAGGCCGTGAATCAATTACCTTGGCTTTAGTACTGATTAGATGGAACCGTATGCACTTGTCATTTTTGTAGATCAAAACAGTTGAATATTGGAAAGGTCATAAAACATAAGTTCTGTGTGAATTTATTATGCCAAATAAAAAGGAATAGTCATTTTGATATTTCTGCATTTCCACCATGATGACTTCCAATGCATTACTTGAAATATCTACTTAAAAGAGAGAGAGAGAGAGAGACGCCCGGGGGCCTCAGCGGTTGAGTGTCTGCCTTCGGCTCAGGGCATGATCCCAGTTCGGGTATCGAGTCCCACGTCGGGCTCCCTGCATGGAGCCTGCCTCTCCCTCTGCCTGTCTCTCTGCCTTTATCTCTGTGTCTCTCATGGATAAATAAAATCTTTTTTTAAAAAAAGAAAGAAAGAACTGTATTTGACAAATACTATACTAATTCCTTCCTTTCCCCTTAATTTGATGGAATATTTTTCTTTCACAAGAGCCAGTGCAAGTTACCATAACAGGCCAACTGCCCAAAGGTCATTTTTTTAAATTTTTTTTAACTTTTATTTATTTATGATAGTCACACAGAGAGAGAGAGAGAGAGAGAGAGGCAGAGACACAGGCAGAGGGAGAAGCAGGCTCCATGCACCGGGAGCCCGACGTGGGATTCGATCCCGGGTCTCCAGGATCGCGCCCTGGGCCAAAGGCAGGCGCCAAACCGCTGCGCCACCCAGGGATCCCCCCCAAAGGTCATTTTTGATTCTCCACTAATCTGGAGGTCTTGGTCTTAAAACTGGACAGGTCAGAGAACGTGGTCAGATTCCTAGCTGGGGCCTTCTAGGTACCCCATTGGAATAATGCTGCCTCGCGGTACATAAGAAAATCCAAAATGCTTCTCCATTATGGAGAATTTGGAGTTTTACTAACACCACCGCCACATACTGAATTTCTACTATGTGCCAGATATTTAGAATATGTTGATTGACTTTTATCTTCATTACACAGGAAGCTTATTTTACAGATGAGGAAAATGAGACACAATATCAGACTCGCTTAGTAACACACACCCC